AAAAAAAAAAAAATCAATTTGATTTTTATAAGTAAAGAAAATATACTAATTTTAAAAATGTATTGATATCATATCATCGAGATACCCCATATTTTAAACTTAAATAAACGGCAATAATAAATTATTCCATTAACAGAACTATTTGTTTGTTGATTAGTGTAGGTGCCGACATGCCCAAAGGGACTTGTTAAAAACCAAGCCCCATTAAAACAAATGCGAACACTTAAAATCGAATCAAATCGTCGAGTTGAAAGCGTCTATCAGCCAAAGTAGCAGCCATTTAATTGGATTGTGCGAACACCTGGACACCTATCGAGCAGAGACCACATGTTGAAGACTTCCAATTTGGAAATAATCAATATATTGATTACAGCAGTAAACTTGAACTATATAGAGGATTGACCAATTTATTCAAATCATGATGATATCTGTCATCTAAGTATTACCCAACTATCAAGGTCAGCCGTCATAGTTTTGGGGAGAACAAAGGATTAGTTTGGCATTGGACTAGGCAACATTTACAGCTACACAATGGATATATAAATACCTGTGAGTGGATACATGTTAGTGAGATCTGTTAACATAATAAACGTATCATTAGCCATTTGCAATCAGAAACAAATTTACTTGCTAGATAGGGAGCTATCCTACTATCACCCTAAAATTGTAATTAATTTATGATAGACAATGCGGTCGACTGCTTTCCGAATGCTTCTAATAAATCTTTAATTCGACATGTATTCTCCAAGAAAATGGAATTAACCTAATCAAAGGACAAGCTGGTATTTATAGGGTGTTTCATGTTTAATGTTAGGGGATTTTAAGTATATGTTAAATTATCAATTTATTTCACTCTTTGTTATAACTACATGATGTTGTGAATGGTATTTTATAATGTTTGAAGAGTTTAGGCTAATACATAGTCCTTTTCTGCTAAATTATTTATTTACATACATGACATATGGATGTGCGATAACATTATTATTTGGGGAAAAACAAAGAAATAGAAAACCCCATGAAAATTTACTACAAACTAAATTAATTTAAATTAAACACTAAGCACTAAAAACTACAAGTCTATGCCAGGTCGTTTATATGTGAATATGATGATTCCTGACACTTAGTTATACATTTTTGCGATAGTGGCGATAGTCTAATATCTACCAGTTCAGTATTGGCTCGACAATGTAAGATTAAAGATAAGATAAGATCAGGACTTTATTTTGCGTGATTTGCAACTGGTTTATGTGACATTTGACTATATCTGACCATATATTGCCTTGGTCTTTTCTGGGCAGACTAAAATTTTCCATTGGGAGAAATATGCGTCTAAAGAGTTATATGCTGATTGGAGGTTTCTAGCTATGTCAGCGGAACGAGTTCCTCCACAAAGAATTGCCGTATCATCCGCAAAACCGAGGTGGTGCACTGGGGTAATGTTGGGAGATCAGAGGTATATATATTATTTAAATGAAGTTTATGCTCTGTAGATATTCTATTGAACTTGCTATGATGATAATGAAGATGTAGGATATCTTTACAAGTACAATTTCAACCCAAATATAGAATTACCCCTACGTTGTCTATGATAATACAATTCCATCAGGTATTGCCCAAAGCTATACACCAGATTGGCATTTGAGCCTTTAACTAGCCCTAACCCAACCACTAGGACTTTAAAAGCAATATATCCCTAACTAAACTGTTTAACACGCCATGTATGCAAACATAGAGAAAATTCTGTAAGAAATATTACAAACTGAATATACTCTATAACTGCTGCAAGCTGCCCTTTAACATTTTGAGCAGTAGCGAAGTGAAATATTTACTTGAACTTTGTGAATTCCCCCCTTACGCAGATGCACCCTGTATATAAAAATTCGAAATGCAGTCATATAGCCAAGTGTGTCCCCATTCGGAATCGCATTTCAGAGACAATTAGAAGCAAGAGTTGTTGTACTTTCTATTATTTATTCATGGCACCATGTCAAATTAAAAGACGATTCGTTGAAAGTTCCAAGACTTAATACACTAGAAGTGTGCATGTGTGTGGAGCAGAACCAGAGCAGGAACTGAGGGAGGAGACGAAGTAGAGGGTACCGGATCCACAACTTGAGTCAGCAAGGCTTTTGTTTTGGCTCTGTTCTAGCCGTAGCCGTAGCCGTAGCCTTGAAACACATTTAACATTTCATTTAATTGAATTCTTCATATAAGCACGCACACCAATAAAATATTTTTTTTTTTTATATTATGTTGGACACATCGCCTTATATATATAAATATATACTATATAACGAATTCGCGAGCAACTCAAAGACCAAGTTTAAGTAATTTCGGGGTTCACTTTATCGATTGGCTTTAGTTAAATTTAAATGTAAGAAATAGGCATCAATTTTCAATTGAAACTCTTCAGCTTTACCTAAGATGCACTTGAATCCGTCACTGGAATGTTTGAATATTTATTGTGAATATATTTTGTCAGAAATTTGTAGATATTTATGTTGCGAAATTGAAATCGAAGCGAGCTAATCTCAATATCTATTGCGAGCAGGAGTTTATTTTAGAAGCAAACGTGAACAACTACCAACTATGCCGATATCCACAACAACCGCAACCCTAAGTAGACCAAGCGCCCCTCCCAAGTCCGTTGTCAACAAACACGCCTCGGGAGCGACAAAGCGAGAGCGAGAGCGAGAGAGAGGGAGAGGGAGAGAGAGAGAGAGAGACCTGAGCCACGCACGAAGCCCAATGACTACGTGGAATCATTCCAGGAGCCATACGCTTGCACCTGTTCAAGTCACCAGGGTTGAACCTGGCTTTTTTTGGCAGCCAAGGAGCAGGACCACAATACGCATTCTCCACATGCGACTTGAGAGTCGGTAGAAAAGCCTTTCGGCTGGTAACCAGGCACCCGCTGCACTCAATGGCTTCGCATTTACCAATTTATTGTTTGCGACATTAGCGCGTTGCCGGGACAACGCTGTGCCGACGCTCGAGCGAGTCAAGTTCCTGTCATATGTTCCATAGCCAGCGAGCAAAATGGATGAGGAGACCCAATCACCGACTGCTGAGCGAAATAAATCATTTCTCGAGGAGGTTAACTTTCCCGAGCCGGGCATTATAAATCTGGACATGATTAGGTCATCCTACCTGGAGGAGGGGCAGCATGGAGAGACGCGTCGCTTGCATCAACTCGAGCCGGTCATATTGGAGCGAATCAAAACACTACGATTGGAGTTTAAAAGTGAGTGAAGTGAAATGAATTTTGTTAAATGTATTAAAGTTCTGGAAAACTAATAATAATAATGTTAATAATGCTAATACTAATACTAAATAGTAACATACTAATACTAACACTAATATTAATATCTTTATAGTGCATTCCACGATATAATAAATGTAGTAGGCCGTCGTATTTACTAATTAATAGATTAAGTATGTAAAATAAACAAATTTACATTCCTACATATATCCCAAATTTGTATAAAATTACAATATACAATATGAATACGTTATATTACATTGCGGCCCATCCAGATATACTGCGCATCGATCATCTATGGGTTCTACCAAACCTAACCAAACTCTGTCTGAATTGCAATAAAATTGAAGTAATTGAGCATATTGGAATGCTAACGGCACTTAAGGAACTCAACTTGAGCTTTAACTATATAACAAAAATTGAAAATCTGGAGACGTTAGTCAATCTGGAAGTGCTATCATTATTCGGTAATCGCATAACAAGGATCGAAAACTTGGAAACACTTGATAAATTGGTCATACTCAGTATTGGTAATAATTTAATCAATGTCCTGGATGGCGTAAGTTCAATACATCCATAATAATTCCTAGCTATTAAGCAGTTGCATTATACTCCGCAGATAGACCGCTTGCGCTTTGTCAACAGCCTAAAGGTGCTCAATCTGGAGGGTAACCCCATTGCTAAGCTGCCAGACTTTCCATTGTCCCAATATGTGACAGCTATATTGCCCCAATTGAACTACTATGAATATGTTTTCATCAAGGATGAAGCTCGAGACGCGGCCCAGAAGAGATTTTAGTAAGCTATGGAATAGATTACTTGATATAATAGAAATATAATAAAGCCTTCAACAGCAGAGAACTGCGGGAAATCGAGGCAAAGCAGGAGAAGGAAATCCATGATCGAGAGACGGAGGCACGTGAACTCGCCGAGGCGGAACGTTTGGCCTCCAGCTTTGTGGAGCATCTGGATCGCCAACAGCTGTACGAGACTATGTGGCGCGGCGATGATGATGGACGGGTACTTATGCTCATTGGCGCACCGGCTCAGGAACTGGCCGAGGACTACGAGAAGGATGTCTATGAGCTAACGCAGAAGATATATAAGCTGGGTCTGGAGCGCTTGAATGAGCGCGATGCGGATATCAAGGATTTCTTGAGTTGTCTAGAGGAAGGCAGGCAAGAGTTTCAATCCCTTGGCCAGAAACATATTGAAGAATTCATGCAGTACCGCGATAAGACCTTTGAGGAAGCGAGCGTCACTCTCCGTGAGCTGGAGACTTGCGAGGAGAATGGACCGGAGCACGTGCAGCTTTGCGAAGCGATGGACACGACAAATGCCCAGTTCGACGATGCGCTCAATGAGCTGTGGCACAACCTGATGGCGCAAGAGCTGCATTTGCATGAGTCGATCGAGGTGACTATGCAAATGCTTAACCATGTTTACAATATTTTAAAAGCTTTTTTAGGAGTCCACGTTGAACTTTGAACACAGATTTACACGCCTAATGTCCAGCTTTGTGGAGGAGGCCCAGCTCTACTTCCTGCAGCTGCGTCATGTTTGCGAACACTTTTCGGATAGCATAACGGATGCAGTGTCACGCTTCATATCAACTAAGCTGGCGCAGAACGATCTGGATTCCGTGCCGCAAGAATTGCGCATGTGCATCGATGATCGGGAATCTCTGGTCAATCTTGTAGACGCCATGAAAGCCACGCATATAGCACGCATTGAGGAACGCGAAGATCGCATGGCCACCCGCAGCAAGGAGTTCATAAGCAACTATGTGGAGAAGCTAAACAAGTGAGTCGTCCCTTCATTCAAAGTCGATTGTATACCAACAATTCAAGCTTGCAGAGAGGAAATCGAGCGCCATCGTGCTAAGATATTGGAAATCAATTCGTTCATGGAGATGATGAGAAAAGCTATTGCAAATCTGCCGGAGGAGATTCACGCCGAGCTGCTCTCGGAGCAAGAGTGAATGGTGAGGCTACTCAGGTCTCAATCATGTCAAAGCTTCCTTTAATAAAAGATTTTAAAATTAGTTTTTATTTTGATTTATTCGGGCCAACCAATTTGTATACATACGCGATCAGAATGCCTTTAATTTCTGTTCTTTTTCTTCAAGCCTTCGAGATAGATGCCCAGATCCTCTTGCATCTGTGGATGATCGATGAACTCCAAAAAACTTTCCAACTCATTAGTGCGCTCACTTTCGAATCTCTGCAAATCAGCGCCCCTGAATTTCAGCTTGGTTAGTGAACGGGCCAAGGGATTCGTTTGGGCGAATGTGGCAATAAATTGTGAACACTTCTCCAATGCCTTCTCTTTGCTGCTGGCCACATCGTCCACTAGCCCGATCTGCAGGGCTTGCTCGGTAGTAAATATTCGCCCCTGAACGAGCGCACGCTCCGCCACACGACGTGGCAGAACGTTTAAGAAGTTGAACATACAGAAGATCGGCGGAACTAGCCCCAGTTGAATTTCATTCAAACCGATTCGGCATTGCGGCAGTATAACTCGGTACTCGCATGAGGTGGCCAGCAGGCAGCCACCGGCTGGCGCATGACCCTGAAACAAGAATTGCAATTCGTAAATAGAACTACACAATTTATCATATAATATTTACATTTATAGCAGCGGCTGTTGGTAACGCACAGCCGTAGAGCGCCAACCAAACATCCTGTAATTTGGTCCATAGCAAACGAGCTCTGTCCTTGTCTGGCCTATACATTTCGTTTATGTCCAGGCCGGCGGAGAATACCTTATCATTTGACTGCAAAATAAGCACATTATTAACAATTACTCACATCATAAAACGACTTCTTACCGATGTTAAGATAAGGCCTCTGCTCTTGTTGTTCTCTATTTCTTTAATGGATTGATATAGGTCATGTAGCAGTTCCACATTTAGGGCATTTATAGGCGGCCGGCTCAAAGTAACTGTGGCTATGCCCGTTTTATCATTAACTTCTACTGCGGTCAGCTTTGTGGCAGTGGACATAGTCCTGCAAACACTTGCAGCACGAAGCATTCGACTCAAGCTCATTGAACTCATCATCTTGATAAGAAGAATGAACTTTGGATGCTGCTCCAGCGAAATGATATGCGGCTAAGAAATACTATGTTATCAAAGACTGTGTACTCTCCGATAAATGCATTATCTCTCTTGGAACTAATTACGTTGTTTTTATCTGTTAACGAAACACCGCAACGTTCAAAAAACAATCTGGCACAACCTGTTGCTGTGCTATAAACAACGTCTATTCGATCAATGTCGATTTCTACTAAAGACTGCACTTAAACAATTCGACTAACTATATTCGATAATTTCAATGTCGATTACATAAATCGAATCTTCTCTTTAACGAACTTTCTTCAAATAGACATATTACAATAGTTTTAATAAAATGTGTATTTAAAAAACAACAAAACCATTTGCTTACAGCAATTGACTACATTTCTATCGTCATAACAAACCCCCACCATTTTAAATGCATAGAATAACACAGTAAGTTACACATGGAACACAATCGTCAGTGCTTGTCCTTCGCCTTCAGGTTGCGAAGGTACTCTCCTAAGCCCTCTTGAAACGATGGCTTATTTATATAGTCCAAAGATTCGCGTAATTGACCTTCAGGGTCGTCTATTAACACCTGCACGTCTGGCGCACGAAACTGTCGCTTGGTTAGTGCCCGAGCCGCTGGCTGTGTTTGTTTAAAGCTGTCAATGAATTCAGCGCATTTGCATAGCGCTTCCGCCTTGCTGTGGGCCACTTCGTCGACTAGATTCACTTGCAGCGCTTCCTCGGTGCTAAAGAGCTTGCCCTGGAGCAGCGCTCGTTCAACTAAGCGCCGGGGCAATACACTCAAATAGCTAATCATAATAAAATGTGGCACCACGTAGCCGAATTTGGTAGCATGGATGCCAATGCTGAAGCCGGGCAACATGACGCGATACTCGCAGGCTGCGGACAAAACGCAGCCAACGGCAATTGCATGACCCTATCGAATGCAAAGAATATTTAAAATTATTAGCCAAGCATTCGAACTGAACTCACATTAATAGCAGCAGCTGTGGGTATACTGCATTGGTACAACGACAGCCACATTTCATGCAGGGCTGTCCAGAATGCTTTCAAGCGCTCCTGGTCGGGCTTATACAATTCGTTGAGATCTAATCCAGAGGAGAAAACCTTATCGTTGGACTGTAAAGCAAAATAAATATGTGTACATAGATATATGAGGTCCCTTGTTTATTGTTTAAATTAACTCACCGATGTTAATATCAGACCGCGACTCTTGTTACACTCGATCTGCTTAATGTTCTCGTTCAGCTCCAACAACAGCTCCAAATTGCAGCTGTTAACAGGTGGTCGGTTTAGAGTCAGTGTAGCAATGCCCGACTTGTCATCCACCTCAACCATGGTCAGCTTGGATATATTCGCTTTTGTCAGGCATCCCCATAGGCCCGGTAATTGGCGCCTGCCCAAGTCCAACAGTTTTGTTTGGCTACGCAGCATTTTAGCGACTGTTGATCACATGTTATTCGAATGGTAAGGTCATTAGTTTTGCGGTTTTCGTTCGCGTTTGTTGTTCGTCACAACACTGCTACCTGATTAACAGCTGTGACGTCACCAGTACTTCGTACCATGTGTGGATCGTGAAGTAAGCAGAAAACAAATTGTTCCATTCCCTTGTTTCCCACGTCTGAAGCGAGGCTAGGCACCGGCCATAGACACGAACCCAACGATAAATGTACAAACCCAATTTCGTCTTATCAAATGACAGATATTTATATGTGAATATTGTAAAAACGTTTTATTAATTTTTATATATGTATAAAATGAGTACTATATGAGATTTGTTGAAAAATGAAAGATAATGAACTTAATTCTTTGCCTTCTTTTTAAGACTTTCCAAATAAATGCCTAGTCCTTTCTGCACTGCCGGCTGGTTGATAAAGAACAGAAACTTTTCCAAGTCCTGAGCACGTTCACTTTCCAGCTGCTCCAATTCGGCAGCTCTAAACTGTTGCTTGGTTAGCGCACGGGCAATCGGATTTACTTTAGCAAATGTGCCAATAAATTGTGCACACTTCTCCAATGCCTCCTCCTTAGTGCCGGCGGCCTCGTCAACCAGGCCGATCTGCAGGGCTTCATCGGTGGTAAACATGCGTCCCTGGTTGAGTGCACGCTCAGCCTCGCGTCGTGGCAGAACGCTTAGGAAGGATGACATAAACCACATGGGCGCCACGATTCCAAGTTTCGTTTCGTTTAGGCCAATCGTAAACTTAGGCAGCATAACACGATATTCACAAGATGTGGCTAAGAGGCAACCTCCAGCTGGGGAATGGCCCTGTACAGAGATGGAGATGTAAGAAAGTGTATTAAAAAGTGAATTTGAGCTGCTTACATTAATGGCAGCTGCCGTTGGCACACTGCTGCCATACAGCGCTAGCCAAGCATCCTGCAGCGCTGTCCAAAATGCACGAACTCTCTCTTTATCTGGCTTATACATTTCCATTATGTCCAAACCGGCCGAGAATATGGTAGGATTCGACTAGAAAATAGTTATGAAATTCAATTTAAGGAAATCGTGACTGATGGAGGGCCATCTTACAGATGTCAATATAAGACCGCGACTTTTGTTGCCCTCTATTTCTGCAATTGATTGACGTAGGTCGCGCAATAAATCCAAATTGAGTCCGTTCACAGGCGGCCGGTTCATGGTAAGTGTGGCAATGCCTGTTTTATCATTTACCTCCACTGTAGTTAGTTTAGTGGTAGTGGACATAGTTCTGAAGGAACCAGTGGCGCGAGGCACCAGACTCAAGAGTTTGGAACGCAACATTTCTGAAAATAAAAAAAAATAAAATTAAAAAAAAACATGTCAACAACAAAATGACCTTTGGACGTGATCTAATATTAGAGCAAAGGTGTAGGATGAAGACAATTTTTATCCAGAACAATGTTTTAAATAAATTATTAATATTTCTGAATAGCAACAAATATTTGTTAGCACAAAATTGCATATATTTAAATAAACCACCTGTAATTATTAACTTTGAAATATAAACAGCTGTTTCGGAACCTGTTGCACTTTTCTGTGCCAGTGATATTGATTATTCGATTAATTGTATCGGTTTTGCCAGGGATGCACCAGCTGAACTGTTTCATTTTAATTCGAATGATTTAGGCAGAGTAATTAGCGAAATAATGTAAGAGTAATATTTTATTGTAAATTAAATTTTAATCAGTGTTAAGCTGCCAAATTGGCATAAAAATATATATCATAAATTAAAGCTTACCAACTGCTAGCTGTGTTCCTCAAATGAACCAGCTTGTCGTGCGCAGACTGGCCATGTTCATATCGCGGAGCAACTTTGTATTTTGACACTTACCTTACACGTCACAACGGCGCAGCTGTCACTTTGCCGATTCGACTGCCTTCGTGTACGCTTTGCTCTTATTCTTCGTTCGCCTGGCTGCGTTGCTGTAACTTTCACTAGCGCAACTCACATCAAAAACATAAAACTCGCGTAAAAATGGGCTCTGGCAAACAACAGAAAGTGCAATCATCCGGTTTCACCAAGGAGGAGGAGCTGCTGCTACAGGACTTCAGTCGCAACGTCAGCACCAAATCGGCGACAATCTTCTATGGCAACGCTTTCATCGTCTCCGCTCTGCCAATATGTAAGTAATCAGGCTAGTAGTGACACGTTGTTGATTTTCCTAAATGGGACTGCTTTTGTTGACATTATTCAGGGCTCTTCTGGCGCATCCACAACATGGACCTGTGGCCCAGCTCTATTCTGTTCGTGCTGGTGACTGCGGCAAGCACCTACTTGATGGCAACGGCCTACAAGAACATCAAGTTCCAGCTTAAACACAAGATTGCAGTTCGCCGTGAGGAAGCTGTTACACGCGAGGTGAACCGTCAGCTGGGCGACGACAAGAAGGTCACGCGCAAGGAGAAGGACGAACGCATCCTGTGGAAGAAGAATGAAGTTGCCGACTACGAGGCCACAACCTATTCGATTTTCTACAACAATGCCATCTACTTGGCCATCATCATCTTCATCAGCTTCTTCCTGCTGAAGAATGCCACACCGTTTGTCAACTACATCTTCTCCATCGGCATCGCGAGTGGTGTCCTGGCGTTATTCTCCACCAGCGCTCAAACGAACTGAACAATATAGATATGCATGTACTCGTAATGTTAGGCCCATTAAGAGATTCTTACCTTAAAAGTGCAAGCAGCAAATTCCATTCATCACTGGCTCGCATTGTTGACTTGATTGTAAACATTTTAGCTATTTCGAGAATATAAATTTTATAATGAAATGTTGTCTTTCTTGTAGAAAGCTTTATGAAACACTTCCATTTGCAAAATGTTCAAAATAAATTTGTAAAAGTCCAAACCATCAAATTATCGATCCTTAATTTTATTACTTGTAGGTATATATATATTTCAATCAAAATGCCTAATCTTATTGTAAATGCAGAACATGTTTAATCTCAGACAGCCTCAAGGAGCAGAGCAATGCCCTGACCACCGCCAATGCAGGCAGAGCCGATGCCATACTTCAGTTTCTTGCGCCTGCGAAGAAGAAATTGAAGATGTGAAGTCATGAGTGAAGTTCGATATGGAGAACTTTGTCTACTTACTGCAACTCGTGCACCAGATGACCCGTAATGCGAGAGCCACTGGCACCCAGTGGATGACCCAGGGCAATGGCGCCGCCGTTCACATTCAGCTTTGATGGATCCAGCTTCAGTTCCTCGGCGCAGGCCAAAGTTTGGGCGGCAAAGGCTTCGTTGATCTGCAGAGAAAAATATATTAAGAAGCATGTCTATATGGAACATTCCATGAATGATCTACCTCGATCAGGTCAATGTCCTCCAATTTCTTGCCGGAGACTCTGAGCACATTTTGTATGGCCGGCACAGGGCCAATGCCCATTATCTCAGGCTTGACGCCTACAAACGAGAAGGCGACGAGACGTGCCAGAGGCTTTAGGTTGTACTCCTTGAGCGCCTCCTCGGAGGCAACGATAACGGCAGCAGCGCCGTCGCAGATGCCAGAGGCTGTGCCAGCGGTGACGACGCCATTCTTCTTGAACAGCGACGGCAGCTTGGCCAGGCCCTCGATGGTGGTCTTGGGACGTGGATGCTCGTCCACAACAAAGTCCACCTCCTTGCCCTTGACCTTCAGCTTGATGGGCGTAATTTCAGCATTGAAGGCGCCCTCCTGCTGTCCCTTCTCCCAGTTCTTCTGCGAACGCAGCGAAAACTCATCCACACGCTCCCTGGAGATCTTATACTGATCGGCCAGGTTCTCGGCAGTCAATGCCATGGGCAGCTTGCAGTAGGTGTCCGTGAGACCTGCCCACAACGCATCCTCCAGATTGTAGTTACCGCCCAGTGTGGTGCCGAAGCGCATGTTGCGCGCTATGAACGGCGTCTGGGACATGCTCTCCACGCCGCCAGTGAGCGCCACCTTAGCACCACCCACCAAAATATCCTGAGCACCATTCACAATGGACTGGAAGCCGGAGCCGCACAGGCGATTAATGCCCAACGCGGGCTTCTCAATGGGAACGCCACAATTCAGACCCACGTGACGTGGCACATAGATGCCATCCGTGGAGGAGGACTGCAAGAGAAAACAATTCAAAATATGTTGGAACAATGTGAGGAATTAATATAAATTTCCTATACATTTCTTAATATAAAATAAAAACAAATAAAATGGAAAGTTTTGAAGTAAATAATTATAATATAAANGTCAATGCCATGGGCAGCTTGCAGTAGGTGTCCGTGAGACCTGCCCACAACGCATCCTCCAGATTGTAGTTACCGCCCAGTGTGGTGCCGAAGCGCATGTTGCGCGCTATGAACGGCGTCTGGGACATGCTCTCCACGCCGCCAGTGAGCGCCACCTTAGCACCACCCACCAAAATATCCTGAGCACCATTCACAATGGACTGGAAGCCGGAGCCGCACAGGCGATTAATGCCCAACGCGGGCTTCTCAATGGGAACGCCACAATTCAGACCCACGTGACGTGGCACATAGATGCCATCCGTGGAGGAGGACTGCAAGAGAAAACAATTCAAAATATGTTGGAACAATGTGAGGAATTAATATAAATTTCCTATACATTTAAATATATAAAGTAAAAAAAAAAAACTTAAATAGAATAGAATAGAAAACTAACTAACTAATTTAGTAAATAAAGGAAAAACAAAATTTGTTATTGTTTAAAAATTACTATGTTTAAAAATATATATTTTTTTTGGATCTAATTACTAATAAAATAATAAAAGCATAAAAATATATTTTCAAAGTATAAAAACTAAAAAGGCAAATATTTATGTACATAATATAATGTAATATAAATTAAAGAAATATTAAAAATTTACAAAACCAAAGAGCTATATAAATATTTATTTAACAGATTTTAAAAAATTATAAAACATTGAACTACTTTAAGACATCTATAAAAAAAAATATATAAATCATTTTTGATAATAAAGCATAAAAAGATAGATAAAATCATTTATTAAAAAAAATTCGTGCAACAACATTTAATATTGATTAAGTCTTGCAAACTAGAAAATTAAAATTACATGTATGAATTAATTGCTAGATATGCCAATGTATATGTAAATACACAATATAAATTAATACATATATTCATATCGCAAATTTTCATGCATACAAATATATATGTATCTATGTATGTTCACATATATAAACATACATGTGTGTATTTGCTAGCCAAGATCTAGATCACTTTTATCAGCTACATAGATGTTGTGCGACTGGCTCAGAGTTCGCTCCGGCAATCGAGATTCACTTACCGCAATCACATTGCCCACGACGACCGTGTCCACCTGTTCGCCCTTCAGGCCAGCCGCTTCCAGCGCCGCCTTGGCAGCTGTGGTCTGTAGCTGTGTCTGGTTGATGTTCTTCAGAGCACCGCCAAAGGTGCCAAAGGCCGTGCGCTTGGCAGCGACAATATAGATGCCTGCGTGAGCAAATAAATATATATGTACACATGTATTAGTGTGTGTTTATACAGCCTGTCTGATATAAAGATTATTCAAATTAGGAATGGTTAACGAAAGCAAATCTTGTTTTTTATTTTCCTCTCAACAGGTCCAAAGTGCAGGCGTTCCCATTTGTCTATGTTAAAGGGGGAGCTGGGGGCAGCCGGCAGAAGATAACGAACGCAGCAACAAGTCCAAAGTTCACTTTCATCAAAACTTTCGCTGGCAAACAAAGAAATATATGCAATTCATGTATAGACAGGTACCTTTTGTAACTGCAGACATTTTGCACAAATTCACACAATTGCTCAAAACAAACGAGAATGGATAAGAATATATGTATTATCAATATTTATGATCACAGCAGAGTTAGCGCAATTAGAACCGCTGGCGACAAACGCTCGACGTCAACTTGGAATCCAATTGGGAGCCGGCCGACATTTTGTAGAGCGTAAAAGCTCACGCCTGCAGCTCTCTGCAAAGCTTTTTAGCGGCACRAAAGCCGCAAAGCCAAACAAACAAAAACTTGCAGCTGTTTCATACACAGCGGGAAAAGTGCTTAGACTTTTTTTTACCAAAGTTCATTCCAAATGCAAAGTTTTAACTAAAATTTCAGAATTGAATATAATAAAAAGCTAATTAAAAGAGAGGAATATAAATTAGATTGCGACCGTAAGGCTTGCACGACCGGAAGATACCCTGAAATAACTTCGCCTTACAGAAAAGCAGCATATACTGATATAAATTATCAGCTTCAACTTAGTACAATATCTTACAAGTTCAAGATCAGCCTCTAAATTAAAACAGCTTAAGAATTATTAAACTTAGGCTAGTGTTGTATATTCAATATTTACTTAAATAAACATACATGCATAAATGCTGGACTTTTGGATAAAACTTTAGGCTTGGAACTAGGACAGAGCAGAGCAATACAAATTCTCAAAGCGGTCACTTAATCGAAACTGTTATATATAATGATTTAATTAGCAAAAGTATTGTTAGTTCTTTGTAATTGTTTTTATGTTTTACTGTTTGTATTTGTATAGTAATCAAAATTGTGTGCATATGATAGGATCTTGTCATCATTCATGGTGAATTAGATATATCCATGTTGTCGGATTTCTCAACGCTGACTGATTTACGGGAGTTCTTTGCCTCGACATCCTCCGTAATGGCCTTCAACTTGCGTGAGTCCGGAGTGCGGGAGCGTCGTCTCGAAGAGGACGACGACGATGACTTGGTGGAGATGCTGGCCACATCTTTGCTGCGACTCGAGCGCGACTTGCTGGGCACAGGGGGTGGCGATGGGGAGCTACGTTTGCTGTGCGAGCGTGGCGAACGGGCGCGATGTGACTTCTTGCTGCGCTCCCGGGATCTGGAGCGCTTGCCGTTGCCGCTGCTAATGGAGACGGCAGCACTGCCGCTGCCACCGAGTCCTCCGCTTACACCATGCGATCGAGAACGACGTGACCGCGAAGTACTGCGACGATGTCGAGATCTGGAGCGCTTACCGCGCGACCTCGACGAGCGCGAGTGCTTGCCACCACGAGAACGTGAGCGGCGCGAGCGTGAGCTGCTGCGACGATGGCGCGAGCGAGAGCGCTTGCTGCGCGATCGTGATGAGTGTTTGCCGCGAGAGCGCGAGCGCCGAGACCTTGAGACGCTGCGACGCTCTCGTGTGCCCGAACGGCGTCGGCGACGAGAGCTGGACCGATGAGAACGGGATCGACTGGTGGTGCGTCTTTCCCGAGAGCGAGAGTGTGAGCGAGAGCGTCGCCGCTTGTCCTTAGCCAACATGCCAATGACAGGATCGATGGCAGCCGATATCATGCTCTGTGCTTCCTTGACAATCGTCATGGCCTCCTCAATCTCTGCCTGGGCTGCCTCATTGGACTTGGCCTCTGGCTTCGTTATGGAGTAGGTGGAGTGATATACATTCAAATGTCCGCCCTTGAACTCCTGGCCCTGCATGCGCAGCGCATGTATGACGCTTGTCTGCTCACAGAACTCAATCATGCAGTACGTCTTGTTATCCTTCTCAGCCCAGCGTGCATACTTCACCTCGCCGGCGCGCTGGAAGCACTCCATTAGATCATCCAAGCGCCACTCATTTCGCACATCGCACACAATGATGGTGCGACGGATTTCTTCAATCTTGCGTGCATCATAGAAAGAAGGCAAGGCCGGATATTCGGGCAGATTAAACTCAACAAGCTTCGGGTCATACGTTTTAATGACTTGCTGGGGCAGTTGTCCCTCGATGCGATTGATTACCTCAGGCGGCAGCTTAGAGTCCGGTTTCTGCAAGCCCGGCACTATGGTGCCATTCTTAAGCATCTCCAAAGCACGATACTCCTCAGGTATGGCCAGCACCGGGATGACGATGAGCGCCCGGTCAATGAAAACGGTGTTGGTCAAGTGCTGGGCCACGGGCACACTGCTACTCTCAGTGTATTTGACATAGCAGATGCGCGACTGCACTGGGCAAGAGACGTCCCGGATGGTGGGGTACAGTCGAATCTCCTCGATTTTACCAATGTTGCCGAACAACGTTTGCATCTGGTCCTTGGTGGCCTGCGGCGCAATATTGGTCACCTGTATAACACGCGGAGTGTTGCCGCCCGCCATGTTTGATGCTTCACTTTTGTTAACAAACTTTGGGAAATTCGTTTTAGTGTTAAGCAGAAAATAAATATTCAATTAACCTCTCTCACACAAGTGGAAAAAATTCTACAAGGGCTGCAGACAGCGTCGCGAAAATCTCGATTGGCCCACAGGGCTATCGCACCGATAATAGTTTCGCGTCGCGCACGAGCATCGTTATCGATTGCGATTGGCATTGGTGTGCAACTGCGCCTAGTGCTGATTATTAGTGTGAATTGTGAATGCAAAAGTTGTAGGAAAATTTTTTGTAGTAGATGTTAAATTGAAGAGCAATTGCAATTGTTATTTATAAATAAAACGTCAACAATTGTTTACATTCGGCTAGCCTCAGACATGTCGGAAAGCCAAGCGCCATCTGTCTCCAAATCTAGTTTGAACGATTTGCGACAGTTTCGCATAAATAAAAATGCAGCCGCCGCAGCTGCCAGCCCAAGTCGAACTGGTAGGCATTGTGTTTACTGTTAGAAGATGCATTGAACAAAATGTAATGTGTATTGCATTTCAGAGCGTGTGCCTGGCAAGAAACGCATTCAAGTGATGGCAGACAGTGACAGCGACAGCGCCGACTGTCAGACACCAAAAAAGGCCAAGCTTGTGCTGACCGTCAAGGAAAAAGAGGAACGTTACATGGCTGCCGCAAAAATAATGCCAAACTATGATACAATGGTAAGCCATCGACCATTGGCTATGGTTTTTCTTTTTCATTTGTGTTGGGTGCGGGGGGCAAAGCGCGCGCGTCGTTTACATGTGTTCGGAATATGGCGACTCGGGCCCGGCATTGCGAACAGCTGTTGGGCACAGTGGCGTCGCGTAAAAAAGGGGTGGCTCAACAATTATAAACCCGGGATCTAAAAATAAAAAATTCCTTTGCGACAATAAATATTAATTTATATTACAAAATAATATTAAAAATGTAAAAAATCCCACAAATATATCTCTTTTGGTACACCTTATAGGCAATTCAAGATTCGCTAGCACGATCCGATTGGGATGTAGCAACGGCAATACGTTATCTGAAAGAACACTGTAAGCCCAAACCACAAAACACAACACTGGATAAGCCGAAATTAAAGCACAGCTCGAATGGCAGCGGGACCAAATCGCATGGCAAGTCCAGTGGCAACTACTCGGACTACGACAACTCCGATGATGATGACGTTAAACAGTCCAAGGATCAGGTGTACGACAGCGATGACAGTGATACCGAAATGTCCACCAAGATGACCGGGCAGCGAAAGAAAGTATTTCAATTCATGAACACTGCCAGCCTGCTCGAGCTGCAGTCGGTAAAGACGCTGTCGGAGAAGAAGGCAACGGTACTTACAGAGATTCGACCTTTCAATGATTGGGCGGATCTGCGGCAGAAACTGGAGGCTAATCGTCTATCGGCGGATCTACTTAACTACGCACAGGATCTGATCAACAAACAGAATACCGTCGCCACCATATTAAGTAAATGCAACGGCATGGTGCAACGTCTAGAAACCGCTATAGCAAATGGAGCTGGCATTGTGGAGCAGCCAAAAATACTTAGCAGCAAGTGGGTGTCTATTTTTGGTTATCTATCAAAGAGATTAATGATCTCTAATTAATGTCATATATCCATAATAATTAATATATAAGYCGAGTGTTCTGTCTGTCTGTTTCTATATTGCTAATCTGTCTTTCTAAATACTTTGGTTGATTAAATATTTATATTCGGTCGGTCACACTTAGTGATAAAATAATCTTGATTTATATATTCGAATATCACGTATCATAAAAACAATCAGGTAAATTATTTAACTTAAGATACGCTAAGATCAATTATGATAGGTTTTACTAATATTTTCGTTCGTATCTGTTCCAGTTTGCAATTGGCTGATTATCAGATAATAGGCCTTAATTGGCTGACAGTTATGCATAAGCAGGAAATGAATGGCATTTTGGCAGATGAAATGGGCCTGGGCAAGACCATACAGGTAATTGCCTTTTTGGCATATCTCAAGGAAAATGGTCTGAGCAAGGGAGCTCATCTCATAGTTGTACCTTCGTCAACGTTGGACAATTGGGAAGCTGAAATTTCGAAATGGTGCCCCAGTCTCGTAGTGGAAAAATATCACGGCTCGCAGGACGAGCGACGACGAATGCGTGTACGTTTCGCCAAGGATGGGTTTACTGGCTTTGATGTCCTGTTGACCACGTAAGTGATTGTTGATCTTGAACTCTATTCGTTCGGTTGCTTAATCTGTAACTTCGCCAGATACCATATAGTTGGCTCTACGCCCGAAGAGCGAAAGATGTTCCGCGTTTGCAAGCTGCACTATGTCATCTTCGATGAGGCCCACATGCTGAAGAACATGACGACCCAACGTTACGTCAATCTGATCACAATAAACGCCGAGATGCGTATTCTGCTCACGGGCACACCACTGCAGAACAATCTACTGGAGTTGATCTCATTGTTGTGCTTCGTTATGCCCAAGTTCTTTGCCAAGAGCATTGAGGATATCAAGACCTTGTTTGTCAAGGTATGCGTATGTCAGCAGCTTTTTAAATTGAATAAGTTCCTAATGCTCCCTCTAAATCTGCAGAAAAATAAAAGTGATGGCGATCAGGAGGAAGTTTCACAGTTCCAAGAAACACAAGTACAACGCGCCAAGCGTATTATGAAACCTTTTGTCCTGAGGCGGCTCAAAAAGGATGTACTCAACAACTTGCCCACAAAGCACAGCTATGTGGTAAGCTAATGATTTGCGTTAGATGAGTATATGTCCCAGTTGATTAAAAATACTTGTCATCCCTTAGGAAAAAGTTCCAATGTGCGCTTCACAAAAACAATATTATAAAGAGCTGGTCGAATATTATTCAAACAATAAAGGCGAGATCTGTAGCAGTAGCGATCGTGCCGGCGTGGCTATTATGATGGAAATGCGACGCATGGCAAATCATCCGTTGCTAATGCGTCACTATTTCACTGACGAACAATTGCGGGGCTTTGCCAAGCGCCTGGCACGCGTCAGTTCCTACAAGAAGACCAATGAACAGTACATATTCGAGGAGTTGGCAATTATGTCAGATTTCCAGGTCTATCAGCTGTGTAACAAATACGTAAGTTGGCTGAAATGCAAGTAATTGTTTTAGACTGACTAAAACTTGTCTTAATTGGCACTTAGGAGCTGTATGATGTAAAGATTCCGGACAACTTGATTTGTGAGTCGGGTAAATTCCAATATCTGGACACACTCTTGCCCAAACTGAAGGCCGAGGGACATCGTGTGCTGCTCTTTAGTCAGTTTACCATGATGCTGGACGTTGTGGAGCAATATCTGAGGATAAGAAAGCATGGCTTCTGTCGCTTGGACGGCGCCACAGCTGTCAAAGAACGACAGGATCTGATCACAGATTTCAATGTCGATGATAATATATTTGTGTTTCTGTTATCAACAAAAGCTGGTGGCGTAGGCATCAATTTGACTGCAGCGGATACCTGCATCATTCACGACATTGACTTCAATCCCTACAATGATAAGCAGGCCGAGGATCGCTGTCATCGTATGGGCCAGAATCGTCCAGTTACCATTTACCGTTTGATATCAGAGAACACCATTGAGGAGGGCATCTTGATGGCTGCCGAAGAGAAGCTAAAACTAGAAAAGGACATCACGTCAACCGAGAAAGGCGAAGTGCATGAACAGCGTTGCGTAGTCAAATTGTTAACCATGGCCTTGGGCCTGGACAAGGATGAAGAGGAGCGGTTGAACAATTCATTGAATAATTCCTTGGGAACGCCTACAAAGTAGTTGATCAATAAAGCCGCTTCAGTGAATCACTTTCCATTTTCCAAGAACACTGTTTTGTAATAGGGTATCATTTAATAATTTTTTAAAAATGTATACTTAAATTATTTACAAGCGTTCTGCTTTTATCATTTTCGTGTATTTATAAGAATCGATATCGTATTAAATTAAATATAATATATTGACATTAAGTTCAGTTTTTGTCTTTTCGAAGAGTCAATGCAAGTATCGATTAAGTGGGGAAAATATTGGATTAACTTATATTAAAAATAATCCTATTATTGTTTTCAATTTAATGTTTATATAAAATTATTTGTATTTAATATTATGAATATTTTTAATTTGAAATGAGGAACAGTTTAACAATTTTTGAAATGTATTTAAAGTCAATCAAAATGAAATTGAATATATTAAAATCGCTATTTCCTCAAGATTTTCTGAAGAAGCTATACCTTTTCCACGGATAAATAGACTCCATTTATTTTAATATATAACCACTTTCAAGAATTAAATTATTGTTCAACAATTGAAACTCTTACAAATATAATAAAGTTAATGTAGGTGCGGCTATCTTTGAATCATTCGAGTTCAACAAATTAAACTCGACAACCCTCAAAAGAGCGAACGTCACTCGGACTCTCTCGCTCGCTCCCGCTCTCAATGAACGCTCTTTAAACAAGATCACATGCAGGGCGATACTTTCGCTCTCCCTCTCTCTCGCTCTCTCTGTCTGTCTGTTTAGTTTTGTGGAAGCTTTTCGTAGTGGCGGCGATTCATCAGGTTTTCAGTCTTTAACTGATCGCTCGCGCCGATGATTTAATTTTTAAGTTTAAACGCTGATTTTGTAGCACAGAGAACACAAAACCCTGCGTCAAGCGTAGCAAACCGAACGATATTCACATTACCTACCATATATATGTGTATATTATATATATATATACTACATACATCTCGACAAAAGTGCGAATATTAAAATTAAAAAAAGTAAACGAACAAAATTAGCAATAAAAATCGAAAGTTCTATGTGAAAAAAATATACATATATGTATAGATATTTATATACGTACATACATATGTATATACATGCATCTGTATGTATTTAGTTGAGAATGTGCAGCAAAGTTTTGTAAATTTGTATTCTATTCTATTCTAATGAGTCTCTTTGCTATTATGTGATTCATATTGTTGTGTACATAAGATTCTTTTTTGTATTTGGCCGATTTATATTTATAAATAGCCGAGCCGCTCGCCAAACGGAAATCATATTGGTCCAAATACAAAAAGTTAGTCCCAAAAATTACAAAATAAATAATAGATGTGTTTCAATATCTTCCAAAAGCTGCTAAACATCTAAAGACGACGTCATATTGTGGTTGTATAGCGGAAACGGAAGAATATAGAAGACGCACCTACGCTGTCTATGTACAGAGTATAGCTGCATACATACGAGCACATATACATATAAATACATATAGATATACGTATATACATATAGCAGTTGAAGTATGCGGCACATGTGTCTAATTCGCAAATAAAAATTTGTTAAAAACAAATGCGCGTGCAAAAGAGCAAACATAAAAATAAATTAATTTCTATGCTTATTTCATATTCCAAGCATTATACACAACGCCTCTATGTTTGTGTGCGTGTGCGTGTGTGTGACTAATAGCCAAGAAAACTAGCGAGCGATCTAAAAAACGAAAAACAAATAATAAACGAAAATTACGCGAACAAACCTAAAATAAAGCAAGAGAAGAGCAATAATAACAGCAACAACAACAACAATTGACAACGAGCTAAAGAACAGCGCAAAGCAACAAACCAAAAATAGACAGCGCAAAGCAGAAGCAGGCGCAGCTAACGACGACGACGACGACGACGTCAGCGTCAACGGTGCGTATGCTTAACCAACAGCTGCCTCTCTGTCTCTCTCTCTCTCTCTTTCTCATACACACGACACACCCACCCCCTCGCTCATTGACTCATTCAAATCGTAAACAGCTGCTCGCGARCACTAACAACAACAACACAATCGAAATAAAAAAACAACAGCAGCAACTGTAAAGAATAACAAGACACAATCATCAATTGTTTCTGCGCCACTGTATCAGTGCGATCGTGCGTGCGTGTGTGTGTCTGTGTACATTTGTGTGCGGCATGCGACGATCCAAAAAGTTAAGCGCAGAACTCACTTACTCATAGTTGTCTATAAGGCATTCATATTGCCTGACTGCAAATTATAATTAAATAAAGTCATAAAAAGTAAAGAATTTGTTGTCATTTTTTGTATATAATTATTAGCGTATGTTATGTGCCGAGCATAATTCAACGACGCACGAAGAGCGTAGCTAAGGAAAGGAAAAATTTAATGAATATAAACCATATATATAAATACATACGAATCCCAACTACGACGACGAAGACGAGACTACGCGAAATCCACAACGACATTTTGTAATCTAAAGAACCTGCAAGCGAGATCGAGCGAGCGAGCGGAAAAGAGATATACCGAAATAGCAGCAGAAGGAAAGAAGAGATAAACAATAAAGAAGAAGCTGAGCGAACAGAAACGAAAAACCAAACAAAATATTGGATCAATTTTATATTGCACTAAAAGGTAAGCATTTTTATCATTAAATACTGGGATCTTATTAAATTGAGGTAGGCTTTACATTGAACTTTATTGAACATTAAAATATCGGAATAAGAAACTTAAATATTAATCAAATAGCTGAGCAAGTGATTTGAATAAAGAAAAATTGAAATTAATAAATAATAATTAGTTAATACTTACTCGTCTTCCAATATAGATTTTAAGCTTAACTAAAGGCCGTATAATAGAATATAGAATTTATATTAAGATGATAGCGAAATCAACTTATGTTTTTGCTGTGTTAACTTTCTTACTTATTACTTAACTTCAAGTAAAAGCCCTAGAAAAAATCTCCCTCTAAGGCTGACGTAAAAATATTCGCCTTCTGCACACTCATGAATTATTATTTATATCGATTATTGTGATGATATTTTTCTTTGTAGATGTAAAATCAAAAAATCAGCAATTAAATGTAGTCTAAAATATAATATCTATATTTATGTTTATTATCAAGAAAAAACTCCAATCCACACAAGTTTATATTTTGAACATATTCGCTAATGTGGTAAAACAGAACATTGTTAACACTCTTGTTTACAGTGTTCGTCTGTTCATCTCTACGTTTGTCTATATGGATTATAACTAGACTACAAATGTATAGGTACAGACATTTTGAATAAATACACTTTAAACTGCGTAAGTGTTAAAATTTGTAAGCCCTTTGGGGCCATAAGATTGCAGGCTCAACACTGTTGACCCCCTGCTCTGCTAGAACGTAGAACGTGATTAGAAATTGGTAATTTAGCTGACAGTTACCGGAAAACTTTTCATCCTAATCCGTATTTCACTTTGATACAAATTCATAAAATTTGATAGTAAAAATTTATTTTCAAATAGGTTTTGCTTGTTTTAAGAATAATTTTGCTTTAATAATTTAGACGGTTTGTTTCACTGACTGTCATAGTGTTGATTTGTTTATTATAGAGTATGTGCATTTCGGCAATACGAAAATAGCTTAAGCATACACACACATACATAGCCATCTTTATGGGTACTTTAAAGCGCTGAGAAATTAGACAAAAAATTGCTTAAAGCTGATGTCATTCGATTTGAAGTGCGCTCCCTGTTCGCCGTCTTGAAACCAGATGCACTCCTACGCGCAGCCGCAGAGCCGGTTAAGTGGCTGTGGATGTACCTATGAAGTACATAAATCTATATATAAATATATAGATAATCTGTTTGTGTGTGTGTGCGTGTCTGTATATAGCAGATCGATCGATCAACAGTACAAATAGTGTTTATACTTGTCTCTTTCTGCACTCCACCAAACTGTTTTGTCAAGATACAAACTTGATTTTTGTTTTCAGACCCACTCAGCTATTTATTTATTATAATATGCATGCCGAGTGAATCAGACTCTAGCTGAGTGTTTGAATATCTATAAAAATAGAAGTGTTTCTCTTAATTAATTTGCTGACTGATTGCTGATTATAATTTAGATGACAGTTTTGGATAATTAAACTAATCCGTAAATAAATCGAATTTACTTGGTATTGAGAGCATAAAAGTATATTGAGTATAAAAGAGCCTGAAAAAATATTCGCGAATTATGTTTCTAACATTTTTTTTCTATTTTATTTCAGACTACTTATAAAAGGAATAAATACTATTTGTCTTCAGCAGAAGACTACGAAAGGAAATTAACTCTAGATAATTGTATTAAAAAAAAAAAAAAAAAAAAATAAAAAAAATAAATAAATAAAAAAACAAAGAAGAAAGGAGAAAAGAAAAACAAGAATTGTGATATGTACAACTTTACTCAAATATTGAAAAAACACTTATAGAAAAGTTTATTTCAAGTATTCCGATCGTTTAAGAGACGGACACGCAAATAATCCAAGATAATATCAAAACTTGAACAAGAAACGGAAAAAAGAAACCAAAGATTAGGGCTTTCAATTAGATTAACATATAAGAGAAAGCACAAGCGGAAGCAGAACCAGCAATGGCAGAAAAAGTGGAAATCTCACCAGCCACATTTAATAATAATCAGCAACAACAACAGCAACAGAATGATGCTCGAAAGGTGCGCAAGTCGCCCGATTTTCAGCCCGTATTACCAGGTGTCATATCCAGAGAGCGCAGTTTTGTGCGCACCTCTAATCAACAGGTTGGCTACAAAATACAAACTACAGTTGCAGCTATAATATTTATACAGTTGCATAATCACACATTTTTGTTTTCAGAATATAAACAAACGGCGCAGCTTGGCGTTCAACGTGCCTGGAAATCAGCCTGGACAGATGCGTGGCAAGCCAGCTATGGATATATACAGACCTCCAAGTAAGTGATATAATGTGGTATAGGGTCATCTATAACGCCTGTAAGCTTAGCTTGCATTACATAATAATAGATATAGCCACATTTCTAATTATTTTCATTTATCAAAGTGAAATTTATTACGGATATTATTTTAATTTAATAATCTTTAATTTAATTTGTATTTCTAAAGTAAAGTTCAATGCATTGCACCAAGTCATATTTTCTGATCTTTGATTTTGCCGCCAATTTCAATTAACAGTGTTGATAAACGTCAAAGTTCTTACTGTCGGCCGCTCAGCCGTTTTAATTCAAATTACAAGAGAGCAACTAAGCTGTCCTTTAATAAAATAAAAAATATAACATAAAAATTCATTTATCTCTGCTAAATTCTTTTTTCAAGATGCTTCAAAAGCTTTTAAGGCTACTTTAACGTCATCTTTGCGTTTCACACAATTCAAATGCCATTACAACAATATTTATTTTGTCTATGTTTTCTCTCTTCTTCTTTTCATATATGTCTATCTCATAAATAAATCTACCTCCCCTCCCTCCTCCTCCTCAAAAAAAAAAAAAACAAACAAAAAACAAACAAAAACAAATCTCATCACATAATTGTTTTATGTTTATTCAATGAACAATGTTTTACGTTGTGAAGATGTACGCGGCGATTTAGCCGGTGATGGTGGTGCCAATGGTGCTGGTGGTGGTGTTGGTGGTGGCAGTGGTAGTGGTGCGGGTGTCTCGAACAAACTGAACATAAATGCCCAGGAGTTCACAATGACGACCAACTCACGTGCGACGCCACCGGCTGAGGCACTTAACAATAATCGGTAACGCCAACACAATTTAATGCCAAGCTTTATCCCTCTTGCCGTCTTCTTACAGAGCTAAACCACAATCTACAACATTCTTCCAGTTCGTCCCTCATCTTTCCCATGGCTGGCGGACCGAGTCTCCTGCAGCAGCAGCAGCAGCAACAACAATATGCAGCAGCTGCCAACAATGCGATCCTGAATAGGCGCCAAGCGGGTCTCTCACTGGGCAATATGCCGGCCATGAACAGTCTCAAGGGTGGCCACCATCGTTCCATCTTGGTCACGCATCCCATCAGTCCCATGGGCGGACAGATTCCGCTCATGAATTCACCATCCAGTGGCAACATACTGCATGTAAATATAAATTATTATCAAATCGGAAATAATTTGCATACGAACGAACAGATATAAAACTCTGTTCCGAATTCTCATTTTTCGCCTTTTAATGCGTATACAATATTCTCTTCGTGCAGTCGACAAACCGAGTAAAGTTTGCTCCGGAGCCCAGAGCTCAGAAGTCGGGACAGCAAACTCAGTACTACAACAATGGACATCAAGCGTATCAAATAAATGGCATGGATCCCTATCTAAATGGCACTGCGCTGCAGCGCTCCAAGTCGCTGTCGTCGGCTGATGCACTGACTCGTGGCATGGCCGGCTTGGGCTTGGGCCTGGGCAACGAGGTGGCTGACATTGGGCAGTTTACTCCGGAAATACAGCAGCTGATCGAAACGGCTCTGGAGGATCCAAACAAATTGAATTCACGCTGCCTCATGGAGCTAACGTCGCAGTTTATTAAACGCGCCGTTGAGAGTCGACGATTCGCTTTGCCGATTTCACGGCTCTGCTTGAATATTATCGCCAAGGAGCAGAAGGAGACTTTTCTGGAGGCGTTGCTCAACACGTGCCGTCAGTGGTATCAGGAGCGCGAAAAGGTAAGCAATCCCATTGGATCTTCTAGTGCAATTGCAACTGCCAATTCATTTGGATTACTCTCTCCAACAGCTACTCTTTGCCATCCAGGGCATGAAGTCGCCATCGCGGGTTCGTTTTACGGCTTTCATGGCATTTCTTACGGAAATGTTTTGCCAGCTGAAACGCCGCCAGCTCCAGTTGCGCACTCACAGCGAAGGTACGCCACCACCTCTAGTGCTGCTCAGTTTGCTCTCCAAGTGCTGTGAGGATTGTGTGCGCCCACCTGTGCGCTCGCTGTCCGAGGTAAATACAGCAACTATTCCTAATAAGTTCGATAACATTGAATTGCTGAACTAATTTAGTGATCAGTGAGCGATTCGGCTCAAGTTGGTCATGAACGAAGTTCCTTGCTCAGTTATCGAATCATTCATGAACAATTTGTTAAATGATCGTTAATTTGAGTTACTCAAATTAAATAAAATAATTCACGAGCTGCTGAATTAGATCACAAATCAAATTAACGTACTAATTACATTATACTAAAACTAATCGATTCATACTTTTTAATTTTATAGATTGAGTCCTTATTCTATGTACTGACCTGCATTGGTCAAGATATGGAGCAGCAGCTGCCGCAGCAGTTGGAGCAACTGATGTCCGTGGTGCGCGATGCGTTCCTCAATGCCGGCGATGCTGCGGCTGCCATACGGCGCACCCTTTTGCAGCTGATCGAGTTAAAGGCTTCGCATTGGCAGCTGCCCGGAAACTCGGTGCTCTATTACACCCACACCAACACTTAGTTGAACAGAGATTGAGAATCGGGCGCAATTTGCAATTGCAATATGTAAACAGACATTATTATTGTGGTCGAATTGCATTTAGGCCCAGTCCTCGTGCAACACGCAACTATTTATCGTACTACAGCAGTACAGCATAGTCCATAAGCAATATTTATTTTTGAAACCGTAGCTAGATGACTAACCCAGGCATTATAATTATATAGTATACACATATTTATACAGCTCTCAAGTCTTAGGCCGGCAACCGAAAACGGAAACGGTAATAGTGGACCAAGCTCATTTAACCTTAAACCATCCAGCCCCTCCCCTTCCCATGTCAACCAACCTCTAGTAGAATACTTCATTCTGCTTATATAAGGCTCAATTTATACTATGTGAAATCCAATTATTTATGTGTAATAAACAATACGCTAGTCAAAAACAAAAACTTGTTAAAAGGTATGCAAAAATAAGTAAGTATATTTAAGGAAAAATAGTTTTTCTATTAAAATATAGAAATATGAATGATACTTTGATAAATGATGAATAATACCTCAAATTTAAGGAGTTACTGTGAGATAGAACTGTAGATAAGGCGCTGCACATGCTCTTCAATAAGGGCAAAGGCATATTTGCCTAGACCTGGACCAAGTCCTGGAGCTTCGTCGTGTTCAACCTAATCCCAAACCAAAGGGGAATCATCATTGTCATCATCATCATCGTCATGATCATCGTAAGACAGTGCTTGTAATCCTCGTGTTAGTGTAGATGTATCGGACATATAGCCATCGAGCTCGGCTTCAGAAGTTTCGATATGCTGTTCATTGGTCATCTTACCAGGAGTCACGTCTGATTTATAGACCTTAACGACCACCGAGCTGAATCCAAAATTTAGTTCGCCGTTGGAAGCCTCTAAAGGAGCCAATGATTCCTTGTTCAACACTAAAACCACCTGATTTGCGGCTCCTTCGTTCGCCTCCACTTTGACCACTTTCCAATCGTGAGTTGGCAGCTGCGGATTGCATAGTTGCAGCATTTTCAGAATGCGTTCCGGCTCCTTTATCGTCGCAGGTATCCAAACTCGAGCTCGCGGTCTGCTCGGCACCTCACTCCAATCGACGGCAACCAGCTGAGCTCCAGGATAGACCTCCCCAACGTTTGCAACCGCCTTCTTGTAGAGTTCCACAGATCGTTGACTATCGCATGATATGATTTTCACGTTGCCTTGATACCAGCCGACATCCTTGCAGCTAGGTGGTGGGCCCGACTCTGACTCGACGAGCAGGTCAAAGCACTTATCTGCTAAGGCAGCTTCGATCCATTTCCAATATCGTCTCGGAATTCTGCCTTCAGCGTGGCCCCGGTCAAATACGCCGATTAGTATGCTATTCTTGGCCATCTCAAAGAGGGATTTGGTTGGCGGCAGCTTGGCATGCTTAACAGACGGTCCTGACACATCTTGTGAATGCTGTCGCTTTGTCCTCTGCATTTGCTGCCCAAAATTCGGAAACACCGTATTCGCCCATTCAAGTTTCTTCAGCCAGGCAGCCGATGGGTTGGTTATATTGCTAGTCCTTTGACGTTTTAATATACTGCTAGCTTTTCTTTTCTCTTCGTAGGTATACTTAATAGTCTGCTCGGAATTTCCCCGCAGCTCATTAACAAATTCACCTTGCTTTTGTGTCATGGTACCAGAATTTACTTCGAATTTGCTAGAAGACAATTTTCCGCTGGGATTTTTTAAAATACCCGACTGCATATTATTAAGAATTTTATTTTTTATATTCAATAGTAAAATTAGTTTACTTTGCACTATTTTTCAGTAAGTTTTCAAACAGATCTTAATATTATTTCAAGCGGAGTTTCTCAGATTTTCAAGTTTGAAATATCCACGCAAACTGTAAGGCGTAATAATAAACGTAGAGATACATGCATGTATTTTTGTTTATTTTATAAACTTGCTGAGTGCGCAGATCCCATTTCACATTAAACGACGCAGACGTAAAGCCAAACACATTCTACCCATGCGCATAGAACTGAAAACATATTTACACAAGTCGTATCAGGCAATTGACTTTAAATTTGAACTTCAGTCATTATAACAGAGCATTTATGTATAAATACATAAGTCAAGTATATCATAATTCTATGAATTTGTGAATTTGAAGTTTTAAAAAACGATATATATGGATTTAAAAGTAACGAGTCGATTAATTACCTGTGTAAGCGAGTAGGCATCGATAGATCTTCTGCATAAAATATATCGATTATTGAGCCTTATCGATGGGCTCGCGCTGGCTACGATGGCAATATCTCGTTCATTTGGTTTTTGTCTTCACCCCATAAAGTTGATACAACTACAAGTAGGTTAATTTTTAAATTAAATAGTTGAAATATGTTAAGATATTTTCATCAATAATTAAAAATTACAATATATACTCTCATAATTTAAACTGTTACGTTTTTTAAGGCATCAAATGAACTAGAAAAGTAATAAAAAGTATTGGTAGAAGTGCGCTTTACCACGTGTTTCAAAATGGCGTCAGTGCAAGCGCATTTATAGAATTAAACATGTTTTTAAGTGCTTAAATGATGATTATCTTAATTACCTTTTGCGGTTTCCACCAGAAAGCGGTAATTCGCTTAAAGATGGCCTTAGGTGTCTGATTCAAGCACTCGAAAACAAAATATCGATTTTATGCGTTCGGGGTCCTTAACCTAAAATATTCTAATGATTATTTTGTATGGAATTGCAGAATGGCGGACGCAGCTCCAGCCCGTAGTGGATTCCGAGGTGGATTTGGCTCTCGCGGTGGTCGTGGTGGACGTGGTCGTGGTCGTGGACGCGGCGCACGCGGCCGTGGTGGCAAGGAAGACTCCAAGGAATGGGTTCCAGTGACCAAGCTAGGTCGCCTGGTGCGCGAAGGCAAGATCAAGTCTTTGGAGGAGATCTACCTGTACTCGCTTCCCATTAAAGAGTTTGAGATCATCGATTTCTTCCTGGGCTCATCGCTGCGCGACGAGGTCCTCAAGATCATGCCCGTCCAGAAGCAGACGCGTGCTGGTCAGCGCACCCGTTTCAAGGCCTTTGTTGCCATTGGCGACAACAACGGCCACATTGGTCTGGGTGTTAAGTGCAGCAAGGAAGTTGCAACCGCTATCCGTGGAGCCATCATCCTTGCCAAGCTCTCCGTTGTGCCTGTACGCCGTGGCTACTGGGGCAACAAGATCGGCAAGCCCCATACAGTGCCCTGCAAAGTTACTGGCAAGTGCGGCTCGGTTTCGGTGCGTCTGATCCCAGCGCCCCGTGGTACCGGTATTGTGTCGGCTCCCGTGCCCAAGAAGCTGTTGACCATGGCTGGTATTGAGGATTGCTACACCTCCGCTCGTGGCTCCACTGGTACCTTGGGTAACTTCGCCAAGGCTACCTATGCTGCTATTGCCAAGACATACGCCTACCTGACTCCAGACTTGTGGAAGGAAATGCCTCTGGGCTCCACTCCCTATCAGGCATACTCCGACTTCCTGTCTAAGCCAACGGCACGCTTGCACGCTGATGCCTAAGGTCATTGCGAACCAGAGTTTTTGAATAAACGAAAACACTCAAACAATTTATAGTTTTTGTTATATTTGTGGGTTGGTCATAAATTTACCTGCGAAAGCTGGACCATGATGCTTTAAAAGGGTTTGGGATTACTGAACATTGTTAAGTATGATTTATATTTTTTTCATGTGTAGCTTTTCTTAGCGCTTAACATATTTATTTATTAATAATAGTACAAAAGAATCTTGTACACTTAATCTAAGTTTAAACTACGCCTTCACACCGTACGCTTCGGGCATACGCTCAATGGCGTACTTGTGTGCGGCGACATACATTATGGGCACTCCTGGTATCTTGCGTATGCGATTCTTCAAGTCCTTGTCATTTGTGGCCACAATATAACACTTGTGCTGACGCACTCGTTCCACCAGGCAGTCGTCGGCGTAAGTGCCTTTATGTAAGCAAGGTAAGCGCTCGAAGCGGGGATCCGATATAATTCGCAGGGCTAGTTTGTATTTGTTGCCCAGCTTTTCCAACTCAGCGCGCACGCAGTCGGATATATACGGTATACACTTGGCGTATAGACAATCCATCATGCACTGCACTATATCCAGTTTGTTCTTAATGCTAAAGTTGATGAAATTCGTGTCGAGCACGATATGATAGGGTGGGCCCAGTTGTGTGTTGTACTGGAAGAAGAGGGCTGAACTCTGTTGGGTGGCTTCATGCACTTTTATCTCATAGGGATCGGCTTCTTTTTTGCGTTTTTGACGCACTTGCTCTTTAATCCGGGAATCGGTTGGCTTCATCAGCCGCTTTAGTTGTGCATTTCGCTGCTTCTGTATTTTTTTTGTCTTCTTTTGCTTACCCTGTGTGTTTAAAGTGAACGTATATTTAATGAAGATCAATTCAGGCTACATGCCGTTATATTTACCATTATATATTTGTAGTAGCTAAATAAAAGGTAAACTAAAATACAGTATGATCGCACGTGTTTATTATTTGTTGTTCCAGCGCCCAGCTGTTTGCTAAGAGTTGCAATCGATTTGGGGTACAACTTCAAATCATTATTGCATTGATAAATATCGATAGGAAACCATATATGTTCTCAACATCGATAGTGAAATCAGAAATTTCTTGGTTAGGCCACGTGCTCCAGACTTTCATTTGCGTTGAAAACTTTGTGAAAAGATGGTGAGTTTTATTAAGAAAGTTTATTAAAAGTAGAAAAATATTGAGTATAAATATATTCTGCCACAAATGATGAGACTGATGACGAGACTGAAGGGACATTTTCTCGATTTTACGTTGTATTTTTCAATGTAATATCGTACACTATTTGTTCATTTAAAGATGAATCGGCAATCTGATGGCACACTTTCATTAAAATGTGATTTATGCATAATCTACAATTTGAAAACTAATGCAAGTTAAATTTGTTTGTATTACAGGGTTGAAAACATTATGTTGGTATAATGCGGATTGAAAATACATACATAATATGAAAGGTGAGCATTATTTTGCAATTTTTTAATATAACCTTGATGAACATATACACAGACCTGTACTGAGTAAGACTCATGTGGAACTCGTTGTAAACTGAAATTAAACAGAATCTAAGTTAAGCCAATTTGGAGATTTTTTAATAATCAAGTTTAATGTAAATTTCAGGCACGTTGACTTGAAAAAATTCGTCGACTGCAAAAACAAGATGGCGACATGAAAGACAAGCTTCCATTTTATTGGACGTGAAAAGGGACAAACAGTTGCGGTCATGGTAAGCATTCGATAAAATATAGATTCTTGTATGAAAGTGATGATTTTAAACACAGACCTGTTCTGAGTTAAGTCATGTAGATTTGTATTTATTAAACTGATATATGTAAAGAACTTTAAAATGATTTTATTTGTGCTATGTATATTAAATATGTTTTAAATTTCTCTATTTGCAGATTTGATGACCTAAATGAGGTTATATTGAAGACGAATTATCTCACATGGTGCAAGGTAAATATCCAAACTTTTTAGATCCACGTGTTTTATATTGATATATGTACATATATATGAAATGATGATTATTTCAATTACCTTTTGCGGTTTCCACCAGAAAGCATTTGCTTAAAGATGGCCTTAGGCGTCTGATTCAATCCGTTTATATTAATATTGTATTTATGTAGACCATACTTCTAATGCCAAATATTTGTCTTTAAATTTCAGAAATTCACGCCAGAGTTGAAAGGAGGAGCCCTTAGCTTGTATTGATAATACAAATAATTGTCTCAATAAAATGATTTAAACAATTACAATACTTGTGTGTTTTCTTTAATGTAAAATAAATTGATTTACAAATTGAGCAGTCTTCAATATTCAGAATGATCGTCTGCGTAGCTTCACGCATCTGCTTTTGGTTTTTGGGATAGATCACATTGCGATGTATGTTTAATATATGTACATATACATAAAGCTATGGTCATAGAAGTAGTGCGACTGGGCACTAAATGAAAAAACACTTGGTGACATGCTGACTTAGTGAATAAATATCAACAGGTGAATTAATATTTATTATTTTTATCGCAGCTCTGTGTAACTGGAACTATTTTGTAAATTCAAGATACGTTTATATAATTTGAATTGAGCGCCATTAAAAAAAATATTTATATTTGAGTTCACCCTGTATTGAAACAGAGCACACGAGTTACCCTGTGCCATGAGACTCGCTGGTTTAATTAAACCACTGCGGCTGTTGCGCGTAAATAAAACCCGATGCCTGCTTTCGGAACAACATTATGCAACTAAAGCTGAACAAGAGGAATATGCGTTCAATACCAAAGAGTATTTAGATTTTAAGAAACAACTGCGACAGCTAAACGTTTACAATCGAGATGGACACACGTGCCTGCAAGTCGATTGCCGGCTATGCGAACGTTTGCCGGCTGCTGCAAGAGCAACAGCAACGGCGTCCCGCTCACAGGGTCCATTGGCTTATGTAAACAAAAGAACTGGTAGGTTGAGAGATATTTTTTGTGCAAGAATACTTGTATGTATGTACGTATAAAAATTCTATTATTTTTGAAGGCGCTTTCATTTGCCCAAACTGTGATGTAAAAGTTTCGCTTACGCATGCCTTGGAGGCTTATCAGACAGTACCACCCTCTGGCTTTCGGCGCCTGCCCGAAAAATCGTTGGAATATGCTACGCGCTTTCCGAATCTGATAAGCGTCACAGCCGAGGCTTGCGAAGCGCTTGGCCTGAAGGGCCTAAAGGAGACGCAGCTGAATGCCATTGGAGCGCAATTTGAGCCCGAGCAAAAGCTGCTGCACTTCAGGTTACGCAATGCGTCGCATAAGATAGTCGGCGAGAAGGTTCTTCATCTAGGCGATCGTAGCGAACAGACGTTTCAGTGCAGCTCCAGTTCGGGTCTGCTAATCCACGGCAGCGGAAATAAGACTAAAGCCGTGCTCGTTAGCAATCTTCTGGACTTTATTGTGCTGGCCACGCAGAACATTGAAACTCGTGCGTATTGGTGTCCAGTTGTTGAATTCACCTCTAATATATCCTTATACCTCTCAGACTGCATTATCTGCTTGCCGTATGCCATGCAGCAGTTGCCGCAGGAGTGCTTGCCGGGGCTGGAGCGCTTTAAGGAGCTGGTCTTTTGGCTGCACTATGATGCCACGCCCAGTTGGGATGCGGCGAGCGCTTTTGCCCAAAAGATGGATGAGAAACGTTGCCTCTTAATACGACCCACGGAAACCGAGCCAGCGCCGCACGTGGCTCTGAAAAAGCGCCTCAACATTCGTCACATATTGGCCAAGGCGACGCCGGTGCGGCACAAGGCGATCACCACATTCAATGCCCTGCGCAACGACATTCTCAGTGAGCTGCAGAACATCGAGAAGGTGAATGGCGTTAAGTGGAAACGCTTTCCGGTGCTCAACAAGCTGCTCAAGGGACATCGCAAGGGTGAGCTCACCATATTGACTGGGCCGACAGGCAGCGGCAAGACGACGTTTACCAGCGAATATTCGTTGGATCTGGCCATGCAGGGCGTAAGCACACTTTGGGGCTCCTTCGAGATACGCAACACACGTCTCGCCGCAACATTGTTGCGTCAATTTGTGGGCTATCCTCTGGATGATAAGCTACAGGAGTTTGATCATTGGGCCACAGAGTTTGAGCGTTTGCCGCTCTACTTTATGACCTTTCATGGGCAGCAGCCGCTCAAGCCAGTGCTGGAGGCGATTGAGCATGCCCAGTACGTGCACGATATTTCTCACGTGATCATTGATAATTTACAGTTTATGATGGGCGTTTCGTCGTATCGCGGCGACAAGTTTTGGGAACAGGATTCCATTATAGCGGCGTTTCGTGGCTTTGCCACTAAACATAATGTGCACGTCACGCTGGTCATGCATCCACGCAAAGAACGACAGGAGGATGAGCTGACAACGAGCTCGGTCTTCGGCACCGCAAAGGCCACCCAGGAGGCGGACAATGTCCTAATCATACAGGACAAGCGACTGACCGCAGTGCGAGGCAAAAAGTATCTGCAAGTGGCCAAAAATCGCTACAGTGGCGATCTGGGCATAATGCCAATGGAATTCGACAAGGATGCGCTAAGCTACTCCAGTTCAGTGCAGAGCGCCAAGCGACGACGGGAACGCGAAAAGACATCACCAACCGAAAGTTGACCTCAGTTACAAATATACTTAAGCTACTTAACTATTTTATTGTATACCATAGGCTATGCTAAAATGTTGAAATATCTGTTAACGGACATTATTTACATAAAATGTATTCAAGAAAGGAAATCGTCTTCATGTCGCGCTCTGCTTGTAGTTTTTCGTATTTAAAATTTTCTTGCCGCACATTGCACAAATTGCCTTTTTATAGGCACACGCCTGGCAATAGTGCGCGCCCACTTGATGCACCTTCTGTCTGCATATGCTGCAAGCAGAAAATAATTGTTATTACATTATCATTCATAAGATTTGCGGGCTTACCGGCAAGGCGCTAAAGTATTGCCTAGAGGATTGAAACGCTCCTTGGAAGATGATAATGCTTTGTTTTCATTGATTTTGCGTCCACCGGCCGCTGCATTGCTAGTTCGCCAGGGATTCGGCGCCGAGACTTTGGATAATTTGGACTCACATTTATCGCAAACCATTTGAACGACTTCAAATATTACTTATGGATGCCGCACTATATAATTGTCCACTTTTTGTTGTTGATGTTTTGCTTTTGATTTTAGATATGAACATTCACAACTACAAGTTATCGATTACACGTATTTGGAACTATTCCGACGAAACCCGTGAACCAGTCACTTTAAGCTGTTGTCGATATCGGATGTGCAATAAAATAAACAAGATGAGCACAGCAAATAATCAACAATTGCGGTAATTTCTATATTTTTGTGATGTCTTCAAACGCTAAAAACACATTATTTATTATAGAGAGCAACTAATAGCAGCTGTGGTTAAAAAACGAGCAGCATTGGCTAGAGCTCATCAGATAGTTGTCACACTTCTGGAACAACAAGTTGACGAACAGACGTTTCTAAGTCTGGTAAATATTTATGAAATTAATGTTATCCATATCTATAGATGAATTGACTTTGTCACAGCTATCACAAATCGGTCCAGAGAACTATGCGGATGTGGTCGAGGAAAGACACATAAACAAACTGTGCGGATATCCACTCTGCGATGTTGCTGTGGAAAAGTAAGCATAAATAGCATCCTTTCGTTTGGATACTAATATCCTACCTATGTTTCAGGGTACCTACTAAACAATATCAAATCTGCGCTATCCGTAATAAAGTGTACGATATAACTGAGCGTAAAAAGTTCTGCTCTGGCTACTGCTTCAAGGCATCCGAGTACATCAAATCCCAGGTGCCGACTTCACCGCTTTGGTTGCGCGACACGGAAAAGAAACCAGATTTCAAGTTGTTGCCGCGAGAAATTTTGAAACCCACCCAATAGAAAGAAACTGTGATAATATTTTCAATGCTAATGTAATCGTATTTATTAAACATCTAAGAATCACTAGACGTATTTTTTCATTACAATTTCAATTTCATAATTTGGGGCATCGAAGCGTTCAGACAGTGTTTTAGTAAGTAATAATATAATAATGATAAATGTATGTATTATAAAGAATAGTGCATTGAGATGCAAAGTGTGTTTTGCTTTTTGTTTTTAAATTTAAATCATAATAACATTTTCCCGCTCCAAAGTTAAATCAGCTTCACGTTTTGCATCCTCCTCTGACCATTCACCACACTTGTCCAGCACATCTGTTTCGCGTGGTGGCTCCGTCTGTTGAAGCGATTAATAATAATAGTTTTCATATTCATATTCTTCAGTCATCAGAGTACTCTACCTCGTTGCTGCCAGCCGCCAATTTGGTAAACATATTTGCATACAACTTCTTCTCTTTGTCCTTGTTTTGCTTTATCTTTTGCTTGCAAATAACAACATGATTGGCAGCAGCCTTGTTACCAGGCTCCAATTGTATAACCTGCAATTCGTTGCAAACAGTTAATTGCCTATCCTCTAGTATAAAAATTTCTACTTTATGCTTACTTTCTGAAAGTCTGCCAATGCGTCTTCGAGCTCATTTATAATCAAGTTGCATTGTCCGCGCCGATATAGAGCCTTTACATTGTTCTCATCCAGCTCCAGCACTGCATTACACTACAGAAACGAAAATTTTTATATATGGACTCTTATATATTCAGTAATTGTCGATAGGTACCTCTGTCTTGGCCTCGAAGTGATCGTTGCACTTCTGATGGCAAAGTGCAATGTTGCTGTGTGTGGCCACTTTAAGTGCCTTGACCTCCTCGCTGCTGTTGTCCTTGATGCTGGGCAACAGATTCTTGCATTTATTGTACATCTTAATGGCCAACTCATAGTTCTCTTTTTTGAAATAGTTGGTGCCCTTTTCCTTGTAGACCTTAGCCTCAGCCACGCGCTCGCTGTCGCTCAACTTCCATTCCTCGAGGCCCTTGCCGCAATCAATTAGCTTTACTGTATACTCAACAACTGAGTTGGGTGGTATTTTAAAGGCGTCATTCCCCTTGGTGCCAAATGCATATTTTGGTTGGATTTTGATTCTGTAAAAATTTGACAAAAATTATGAGTATTAGCAATGCAAATTATTCATACAAATATAGTAATTATTAATTACTTGGATGTTTCCCCAACATTCATTTTTTCTAGAGCAAGTTCAAGTCCTTCGATTATGCCAATGGCACTGCCTTCGCCATAATCAAATTCCACGTCACGTTCCTCAAACACACGACCATCGAAGCTTCCAGAAATGTGAGCTAAAATTTGGAAAAAGCAAATGTGCAAATGATTTAACCACAATATTGTAAAAGCAGTGACCCACCTTTAACAAATGCACCGTCACTGGGAGTTCGCTTTTTGTCGCTTTGCTCGAGAATTGTACGTTCAATGCTGCCATCTTGATTTGGACTGAGATCTTCACCTTTCCAGCCCAACATTTCCAGCTGCAAGCGAACAAATTGGATTTAATTATATTTTTCAATTGAATTGATTTCGTTACACTAGTAATACCTCAAATATAAGCGTCGAGTCTGGTGGAATGCTTGGCGGGCTGCCAGCAGCCCCGTAAGCGTAGTTAGGAGCACATGTTAGAAAACAGCGTTCTCCCAGCTTCATGGTGGCGACACCCATGTCAAAGGCCTTGATGACGCGCCCTTCGGTAAGCCAAACAATTCAATGAGTTATGCTGAATGAAAAATGCGCTCATCCTTGCACCTTGCTCTTACCTTTGCCCAATTCAAATTCGAATGGCTCATTGCGACCCACGCTAGAATCAAACTCGGTGCCGTCAACAAGTCTGCCGGTATAGTGAAGTGAAACCTTGCAACCGGTGTAAGGTGTCTCGTCGCCTGTGCCCTCTTTAAGTATTTCTTTGAGAACACCTCCGTCGCCAGACAGGTCGAGTTTCTTTGTTTCTTCCGACATCTTTTAAGTTATATTTTTGACTCTCTGAACAATACTAACCTGATCTGTGCTTATAAACTTCTCGAAAAAGCATTGAAAAGTTGATCTATCGATGACACAGCTATTATTCACTTTTTGCGATAGGTCGATACTATTTGCTCGATAGTTCCATTGATTGCGTCTAGCAGCACTGATAATAGCTCATTTTATCGCCTTATCGAAATTTTGAATAATATAGGAATTGATTTAGCTCAGTTTGTAATTTCTAGCTTTTATTAAAATAAAACGCCAAGCTTGATCAATTTTTAACTGATGTAAATTTGATTACATAAAAAACATATTTCTAAAAGTTACTAGTCTTAGTTTCACCTGAGCGGTTTATAAACTCCGATACAAACTTAATACTGTATGCGTATTTCTCGCAGCTCTGACATGTGTAGTTTAATGCTCGCGATCAGTTGATACTGCCGTCAGTTGAATCTTGTAGCCCGCGCGAAGCGAAGCTCGTTGAGAGAGAGAGAGAGCGCGACTTCAAACCGCTGAGCGGTGCACTCAACTTATTTAATTTAATTGACGCCTGTTGCTGTGTTTCTGTTTTTGTTGTTCTATTCGGTAGTGTGTTTCACTTCTGATCGCGTTTATTGTAAATCAATTATAATTAATAGAATAAATATACAGAATGCTCATATAGTGCCAAGATTACAACCAACAAAAACCATTTAACAAGAAAATTTGAAAAATGACTAAATAATACGTGAAAATAATATAATATATATACATATACACACAAGCGAAATTATACGTATGTGATTGGTGAAACATGTTTATAAAGTATTAAGGATATTTATATTTGATTATAAACATTTCCAATCAAAATATTAATTGAGTTTGATTGTTTCTAACATACATTTATATATTGTATATATGTACATGTACATATGTGTGAGTGTACCTGGGTGCGTGATTTTAGCAGTGCGTGCATAAAGATAAATTAATATTCGATATTTGTATTTCGGGCTTGTTTTTGCTGTTTTTGTTCTTGTTTTCATACTTAGCTGGTTTTACTGTTCGCTCGTCGACAGTCTTGTTCCCCCACTTAACCTTTTTATCGTTTCTCGTTCGCGTATTTTATTTGTGTTTCAATATTTATTGTCGGCGTGTTTTTTTTTTCTTTATAATTGCAAAAATAAAAGCATAAATCAACAAGACTCAGAACTGCTCTTGCTGAATCGAAAGATAATAATACGTACATATATATGATTTAAATTAAATACATGCAAGATGTTAGCAAATAGTCGTTAACATTGAAAGCATAGAGTGCCAAAGCCATGTTGCACAGTGCTTTTGGTTTTTTTTTTTTTTCATTCATCGTCGAAAAGCTTAGCTCCATTCCATTCCGAGGCTCAGCAGTCGAAAAAGCAAGCGAAAGTCTCAACGAGGCATTCACAGATCGTCATTGTATTAACAAGTGTGCCGTATTCACACAGTGTGACAAACCATGTGAATACTGTGCATGAATGGAGTTAAATTTTTAATTCACTCGAAGTAAAAACTTTAATGCAATTAATTAGCTGACTACATATGTATAAATCAATATTCAATAAGGGATATAATTCAGTTACAGTTTGTTTTCATAATCGAATATTAATTTTAATATTAGTTCATCTGTATAATTTGATTCAATTTTTGACTAGTACATATGTCAAATGTTCAATTACAGCTATTAATGCTTTTGATATTCGAACTTTAAATGTATGTATGTATGTTTGAACCACTGTCAACTATTGAAGCTTTGGAAGCAGCTTTATAATTGCTGGCGTGGACAACGCGCGCAATGAATATAAACAGTTACACAAACGAAAGTTTTCAAAGGGGGATGGCGATAAAAGAAAATTGAGAATAGCAACAACAATATCAGGAGACGCGACTGAAAACAAAGAAGGAAAGGCCAAAGTTGTGTACGTTATGATGGTACTTGTTGTTGTAGCTGCAGCTTGATGAGCCAAAGGCAGAGAGAATAAGCATATACATATGTATGTACATACATACACCAGACACGACTCCAAATCGAACAAAGCGACAGTTGATGTCGCAACGGCAACAGCAGCGGTAGCGGCAGCGACAACGGCAAATTATTTGAAATATTGAAGCAATTGAAAAGCCCAGTCCAGTGCCGATGGCAGCAATTAACAGCAGCGACGACTACTGCACCAGCATCAACATAACGTCGAC